AGATCTGCAGGGACTGTGGCAGGGGCCCCTGGTGGGGTGGGGCCCCACAGCCTTTTATATGGTTATTCGTGGGCTGTCTCAACGACCTGTGAACAGGCCCACCAAGCTCATTTCCTCCCTGCCAGGGCGGGGAGGGGGCTATAAACTCCCCAGAGAGGCAGCTTCTGACGCCCCGCCTGGCTCTGAGTGGGGCCAGGGGGCTGGGGCTCCTGGGGGGCATGCTGAACTCTTGGCAGGTGAGGGACTCCAGAGTGGCTTCTGATGGCAGCTGGGCCAGCAACACCGTGTGGGAGAATCCTGCAGGCCAGTTCCTCTTCCATGAAAGGGAAACTGAGGCCCTGAGCAGAGCTTGCTCAAGGGTTTCTCATTACAACCCCCACATGGGCATTAACTGGGATCTGTCCTGTGGTCCTGTGGGCTGCAGATGCCCAATTCCTTGGCACTCTTCTGGGATCTGCCCCTGTCTACCCCAGGGCCATGGCATTGGGGATGGGAACAACTGGCCAGGCGTCTCCCTTCTAAAGAACTGAGACCGTCTTCCCAGTGATCTCCCGTGCCCAGTCGGGTCAGGATGCTGCTCAGGGACCTACATCTGAGCATGTGGGCTCTGCTCCTCTGAAAGCTATGTGGGACTCTAGGCATCTCAGCCCCCTGGGAATCTCTGGGCATCTCACCCCTGCGTGACTCCAACTTCTCAGGTATCTGTGGCCTGGTGGCCATGCCCACACTTTGCCACCTCCTCTGCCCACCTGCCCAGCCGCCTCCCAGTTAAGTCTGTCTCTTTCATCTGGGATGCCCCTGGCACTGGGCCCCCGGCAGGTGCCAATTAAGGTGGCTCCTGCTCAGGGCCCCAACTCAGAGAAGCTGCACACCTGACAGACTGGCCTAGACCAAGGCTCCCCTCACTGCCCCAGGGACTGACCGTCTTATAGCTATCACCCAGGATAGCTTGACAGGATGAGTGGGCCTGGGATCCACTGCACCTCCCATTGATGACTCATTTCCCAGAGGGGAGAATGGATGCCTGTCCTGCTTTGGCTGGGCTCCGCACCCTTAGTCACAGGCTCTCTTTACAGAACATCTGCTTGCCACCTGTCTGGCCCTGGCTGACCCCTGCTCTACCTGGGCATTCCTCAGTAGCCCTACCTGGTGGTAGGTCAGGACTACTGCACCCCTGCAGCTCCAGAGAGTGGGCTACCTCCTGGAACATGCCTGGTGAGGGTGCAGTGAGCCCCGAGGCCTGAGGGCAGGAGTCCATGGGTTGGACATGGGAGCACCTGCCCAGAGGGCGCACAGGGCTGAAGTGGGGACTCAAAAGGCGATAGAAGGGGTACTGGTGGTCCAGAGTCTGGGCCTGGGCCCTGCTTCCCCATGGGCATGCCAGGCTCTGGCCAGTCAGCCCTTCAGGGACTGCAAGGCACCAGCACAGAATTGTTCCCAAGACCATCCAGCAGCCGTGCCCCCAGCCATCCTCTCCTAAGGTCTGAGAGCTCTAAGGACACTGTGAGGGGACAGTGTGCCTGAGGGTCTGCGTGGCTCTGCGACCTGGCCAGAGTGGGTGTGTGTCTGTGCAGGATGTCTCTGTAGAATCAGAATAAGACCCCAAGACCTTCACCAGTATCCATGTTCAGCAAGTGGTCACCATTCTGTCCTTGGCTCCCACATATGCCCCTTTTCCCATCCTGACCATGGTACCCACCTCGACTCCCACACATGTCCCATCCTGCCCACATTGTCCCACGATGCCCATCTCTGATCCCACACATGCTTGCCTGTCCCCACCCTATGTGATGCTGGTGTCCTTGACAAGATGATGTGACCAAGGAGGCCTTGCACATTTAATGTGGTGGGCAGAACTGGCAGAAGTCAGCCGGCCCTGGGCTGTTTTGCACATTGGATCTATGCAAGGACTGCACCGGGGATTAGAGCAATACGAGGCATAGATAGATGTTGAGGTGAGTGTGTGTGTTCGGGCACTGGCCCTGTGTCACTGCATCTCAGGTCACCTTCTTTCCCCTAACCCCTCAGACTCCACAGTGCACTCCTTGGAGGGCCTGTGGGCCACATTGGCAGGGTCTGGGCCTTCCTGTGTCCGCTCAAGGGCTTCAGGGGCCTCCTGGGCAGCCCTGCCACAAAGCCAGTAAATGGGTCCTTTGACTCGGAAATGGTACCATGGTACCAGCCCCACAGTGTAGGTGTCATGCTGCCAGCTCCGTGGGGCTCCCTGGAGCAGATGCATGTGGCAGGTCAACAGCAGCCTTGTCGGCTCTCCTCCAGCCTTCACAGCTTCAGTGCCCAGGGGCCAGCCTCCTCCTGGGGTTATATGTGGTTGGCAGATTGAGAAGTTGTATTGGGGATGAGCGGGCTTGGTAGGGCCCTGCCAATGACCCAGGCAGCCCCAATTCCCCATGTTGGCCTGGGGACTGTGTTCCTCCCCCCCCCCCAGGCCAGGCAGCCCACCTCTGCTAAGGGTGGGTGTGTGCTGTGTCTACCCTTCTCCAGGGCTGCCTTGGTCCTCCTACCTCCTTACTCCACATAGCTGTGCTCTCCTTTCTCCCTTGCCCTTGTAGGCCAGGCAGGTTTCCCAATTCCAGAGCTCATGGGTGAATTACAGCAATCGGACATCAGGCTGAGAAAGACTGCCAAGGCCTTCTCTAGCCCCCTGGCCCTGTCTTACCATCAGCTTGCAAATGGCCTGTAGGAATGGCTGTGTTGGACATGAGCTTTTGAGAGTGTGGGACCAGGCCTGCTTCCTTCAGCTGCCTCCACCTTCTCAGCTTCCCCTGGAAGACCTCAGCAGGACATCAGGGCAAGACCAGAGGTAGGGTCAGTGAGAGGGGGCAGGCATGAAAGGGCAGAGAAGAGAGCAGAGATCCCAGCAGGGCTTGGACAGGCAGGAGTGTGGTCTTGAGAGGGGCCTCCAGCTTGTTTCTAAGATGCACTTTTATTCTGAGAGAGGTGGGCATGAGCCTGCTCAGCAAGCAGTGGGATGCCTTGCTTGTTCTGGGGACTCTCACTGCTTGGCTTGGCAGAGGCCCTGGGCTGCCTAGAAAGGAGTACAATTCTGGTCCATAGATTCCCACAGATGGGGTCTGAGACATTCCCGGTTGCCAGCCCCACTCTGGGGTCCTGTGAGTCCTGCAGGATCCAACTGACTCCACTCAGAAGCCAACAGCAGATAGGCTGCTATCTCCAGACCTAGAAGACTTGGAACATACAGGGTGATGCTGGGATGCTGGACACGTGAACATGGACGTATGTGGAGGTGACCTGATCCCTGTCTCCTCTGCAACACTGACTTGCATGAAGTTTGGCCCAAATCCCTTCTCAATGTCTGTTCATCAATGGCTGCCTGGTGCCCTGCTCCCACACAAGGCCTCCTACCACCCCCATCGTCAGCCCACTACCCAAGGACTCTGGTCCACATTGATCTAGACTGTGGCACAGCTGCTGGGTCCTCCTCTGTTTGGCTGAGCTGCCTCTGCTCCTTCCTCCTGGAATGCTAGCCCTGAGCCCCCTGAAGAGGCGTGCTGCTGACAGCCTCCTTGTGCCTGGCCATGTGTCCCCTGTCCCGGATCCCTCTCCTGAGCAGCATCTTCACTTTCCCAGCATGGGCCCAGTCCACCACAAACGGTAAGGGCAGGAGACTGCACATGTCAAAATATCACCCTGAGTCTCAAGTATGTGCAATTAGTAGATGCTCATCCAAAATAATAAGATCAAAGGGGAAAAAACCCAGCACAAGCCACAAAAAAGCGTCCTTATTTATTTTATTTTCCCCATTATTTGAAACTTACACACTATCACTAAAATAATTTCTTTCATAGAAAGAAAAGAAAAAAAGGTAACACATCTGTTTGTCAAACTCCAGTGATAGCAGCATCGGAAATGAAATTAAGACCCAGAATGAACAATTCCAGGCCGAGGACGTTCCTGGCACATGGCCTCTTCTAGCCTTCAACTCCCCTTCCTGGCTGTGTCCCCTCCCCTACCTGGAGGGTGGGGACATTTCACAGTGGCAGAGACAAAGGAGAGTTCTCTGTGGACAGCCCCTGGGCACAGCTGGATGGGTCCAGTGTCCTCTCACTCCCAGCCCAGGCAGAGACTTCAAAAGCTCCTGGGTGTTGGCTGGTGGCAGGCAGGTTTGGACACCTTGGCCTCAACAGCAGGGTTCAGTGCTGGCCATGTGGGGATGGGAGGGAGACTGCTGTGGCTGTGGGTCCTCTGTCTAAGGCAGGGTCTGCACTGATGCCCCCACAGTTTTCACAGAACTCATCTCTGAGTGGCCTTGGGGGCTGGGCACAGTCCAGACCAGAACAGGAACTTCAGTGGGCTGGGTACAGTGGCACATTTCCTGGAAGATGCCTGGGATTGGAGGCCAGGCCAGAGGCAGGCCTCAGTGGGAAGAGGCTCAGGGATTCAGACCCCCCTCCCCAGCCATCCTCTACCAAGTCAGTTCTCCCAGGTCTGAGCTGGGTTCTCAGGGTTGGAGGGCGAGGGGACGCGGGAGACTTTCCTCCAGAGGGGTCCCAGTGGGGAGAGTGGGAGTCCCTAGGTGGAGAGAGAGGTGCACAGGGGTTGGAGAAAAGCTCCCAGATTCCAGAAGCATGGAAACGGGGATCCAGTACCCCCCGCGGAGTCTCTGCAGCTCACTTCATCAGGGGATGTGCTTTGCTCAGCGGGCAGGAGAGGAGGGTAGTGGGCCCTCAGGAGCCCCGCCCCACAGGAAAAGCCCCACCCTCAGAGAGGAGCCCCGCCCCATCCAAAGTCCCACCCACGGGAGGGCCCCTCCAGTCAGGAACTCCACTTAAACAGGAAAAAGCCCCTTCTCCAGGGGCCCAGTTCCCGCAGGTCCCTCCCTTCAAGCCGGGCCTGGGACAGCAGCTCCACTCCAGGGAGAAACCGGTTCCGAAGCCCCGCCCCTTTCAGAGCCCGGCTCTACTGGAAGGGGCTCCACCCAGTCAAGCAACCTCTGCTCATTCACCAGCCCCACCTGTCCAAGGAGTAACTCCACCTGCCCCTGTCTAAGCCCTGCCCTGTCAGAGAGGAGCCCACCTCCAGGTGGGGGTCGGGCCCCAGTGGGAGCCCTGTCCCACGGTCTCGGGAGAGCTGCCTATTTGCAGGTGTGCACGTCGTAGACGCGCGCACACTCCTGGCAGCTGACATAGCAGCACCAGTGGAACACGCAATGGCATTTCTCCCTACGCCTCTCGGTGCGCGCATTGTGGCCACGGCCGCAGCATAGCAGGTCGCAGCCGTCAATGCCATGCGAGCTCACGTTGCATGTGCGGTCGCGCGTGCCAAAGGAGCCCGTCTCCGGGTTGGGCTCACAGAAATTGGGCGAGGCCTCGTAATAGACCAGGTCACGCTCCGTGGGCACTTTGAAGTAGGTGTAGCGCGGCCGCAGGGTCTCCACCCAGCCGCGTGACTCGCGGTGCTTCTCCACCACCATCTCAGAGGCGCTGTCATACTTGTCCTTGAGAAAGTCACCAATGGTGCGGAAGTCGGGCTGCGACCACCAGCAGGTCTTCACCTCGCAGCTGCCCGACAAACCGTGACACTTGCACTTGAGGTGCATATGACTGGCAATGGCCTGCAGAAGTGCCCATGTGAGTCAGGGTCTGCTCAACCCCCTGCTGCTTCTCTCCCTGCTCTTTGCCTGCAGCCCACTTGCTCCATAAAGCCCCCGGGGCCCTTCGTGCTCCCCCAGCACCACCATCTTCCCTATAGCAACTAGTGCTCCAGCCCAGAGGTCTGTCCTGCCAGATCCAAGGCCTCTAAGTCACAGGACCTGAGAGGCTTCCTTTCTGTGTATGTTCTGTGGGTGTGATGGGGGACATTAAAATCATACGTGTCATGGTCTGTGGATGCCAGAAGGAAGACCTTCATCCAAAGAGGGAGAATTGGAGGGCTGCCCAGAATAGTTGCTTGAGGGCTGGGAGTTCTGAGTAGGAACCCTGGGAGTGATCCCTTATGGACTCAGGGAGGCCTTGGGGGCCTGAGGACATTGGGCAGGGCCTGGATGAGGAGTGTGTTTGGTAATAGAAAATGCTTCCCTTCTCTGGGGAAAGGCAGGAGAAGTGGGACTTCAGGAGGACAGTGGGAACACAGCCTCCCTTTCCTTCTTTGGGGAAAGGGGTGTAGGTGAAGGCAAAGGGGCAGCTGGCATTCAGAACTGTCTATGGCAACACTGTTGACTGCGGTAGGACCTGGTCACTCATGACCCTCCAGATATGGCTAATCCTAATGGAGAAGTGCTGCATGTGCAAACCTAATGCTGGATTCCCAGGACTTAATGAAGAGAAGGATGTAGAGGATCACTTTCATGATTTGGGTATTGACTGCATTCATTCCTAACCTGACATGTCGGCTGTGTGGGGCTGCCATGGTTTGGATGTGGTGTTTCCCCCAAGGTACATGTGCTGGGAGCTCGGTCCCCAGGGTGGCCCCCAGGGTGGTGATGTGGAGAGATAGTAAGACCTTTAAAAGGTGAGGCCTAAGTTGGACAAGAGAAATGACTTCTAATGTAACATGGTGAAGTGGGGGTAACTACGGTGTTGACCACAAAATGACCAGTGGAGAGGATTCTGAACATTCCCAGGACAAAGAAATGATCAACGTTTGAAGTGATAGAAATGTCAGTGACCTCGATCTGATCTTTACACACTCTATACATGTATTTAAATGTCACATTGTATCCCAAAATATGTGCAATTATTATATGTCAATTAAAAATAAAAATACACTTAAATAGAAAGAGGTGAGAAGGTATTAGCTCACTGGGGACACAGCCCCTGTTGTGTCTCCTACTGAGGGGCCTGCTCTTTCCCTGCAGCTCACCTGCAGGAATCCCAGGCAGAACAGAGGCCCTCTCCATGTGCCCCAAGAGCCATCACGTTCCTATGGAAGGATGGTACTCCTGTCAGACTCAAGGCTCCCAAAGCAGCAGCCTATGATGTCCCTCCTTATGGACCCCCTTGGCTGATTCTACTTCTATAATGTCTGTGATGAAGGAAGAAATTGAGAAAGTCCTTGTGGGCCCTGGTTAGTTCTTGTCAGAGGGTTTATAGAAAATCAAGCCTGGCCCTCCCTGCTCCCTGTCTCTCCATGAGATCTCTCCCTCTCACTTGTCCTCCCACCACGGTGCCATCTACCATGAGTAACTCAGCCAAGGGGGCTTCTCACGATGAGATGGAAATTTGGTTCTCTGTCTCATCACCCAACCATACTTCTCAACTCTCCCCCTGCCCAATCTAATAACTAGAGCAGAATTTCAGTAAGGTCAACATTTCTGCTGATGGTGTTAGCCCCATGTTAAATGTCATACTCCATGAAGCCATGTGGTGTATTATTTCTTTTCCCACATGACTTTTTCTCTTTGCTGTTATTATTGTATCTGTCATTGATTCATCCTCCAATTCTTCCTTAATTATCTAAATGCCTTCTTCAGGATGCTCACGCATCTATCAATTCTATAAATTTCATCTTCTTGGAGATATCTTTTTTTGCCAGAAGATGACTTCTGGTAAATTTTGTAAAATATGTATGTCTGAAAACAAATATTTTCTACTGCATATGCTGTTTAATGTATAGTTTAGCTGGGTCTGAAACTCTTGGTTTAAACCATTTTGTCCCTCAGAGTTCTGAAGGTATTACCCTGTTTTATTCTAACCTTCATTGTTGTTCTGAGAAGTCTGATCCAATTTTGATTCCTGATCTTTTGCATAAACCCAAACATTCTTCCTGAAAGTTAGTGGGCTTCAATATGTTGTAGGCTCTGAACTTCACATCAGTGAGTCTTGTGGGTCTTTCCTCCTTGCTGTTCAGCCACTGACAGTTCTGGGGAAACTTCCTGATTTTTTTTTTTTT